ACTTTATTTCATTATTCCCACAATAATGACTCCTTTAATTTAAACTAAAAACCATAGAGGGTTCCTGAAAGGGCGGCAGCGAAGAAATAGAGGTGTCAAAGACCAAGGGAACGGTAGGGCAGGGAATCAGCGAATCGTCTTGACTGGACTCTTGAAGTTGCTGGCTGCTTGGAGCTGCAGCTGGTAGGCCATTGGATGGATCTTGAAACCGTAGAGCCTGGGGCCAGGGCAGAGGTCAGAGAGGGAAGCAGGGTGAGCCCCTTCTGGGCCCCACCAGAGCCTGCATTCCTCCCTCCCACCCCAGCACCTCCATGGGCCTGCTCAGTTCTTAAGGGCAATGGTTCCCAATCTCCTTCCCTCAGCAGTATTTGGAAGCGAATCTTCTATACCCACTAAATCTCCAAATCCAAAAAATATATATAATGTGCATGTATACAGATGTGTGTATATTAGTACTTGCTTCAATATAAAGCTCAACTTTTCTTCCCCACACCAGGGTAAAGAGGATGCTTCGGGAAGATTAATCACACTTGCACTACGGTTCTAAGACTTCCTGGCCAAGTCTGAGTACCCAAGAGGGTGACAATAGCTATTGTTGAAATGACACTTTTGCATATCGAACTGTACTGTACACTAAGCACTTCACGTATTAAAAAAGTTTCAGGCAGAAACCATCACCCCCAGTTTATAGATAAGCAGACCGAGATGCAGGCAATCAAAGAACTTTCCCAAGGTCCCTAAGCGGGGAAAGCCCTGGCTTTGGGAGCGGCAGGGCCCAGGAAAGGGTCAGGCCCTGTCCTCCCTTCTCTCTGGGGGTCCCGGGCATTTCCTTTGACCTTTGGTGACTCTGTCTCTGCTCCCCACCTGGGCACAAACTGGTTGGCGGGCCGCTTGGGCCGGTACTCAGGGTGCACCATGAAGAGCATGTGAGGGAAACCGGTGCCGAAGTAGGCGCCGTCCGTGTGGTGGTGCCTCGATGACTTGGGTGTGTACACGTCCATGCACTTGGGGCAGTAGAGCTTCACCATGGCCTCACCTGGGATGTCCGAAAGGCCTGGGAGACAGCCAGACTCAGCAGGCCAGGCTCCCCCAACCCTGCCCAGCCTCCCTCCCGGACTCAGGGCCCGATTTGCTGAGCCCCAACTCCTTCCCAGAGGACCTGCCGTACGTGGCCCGTCTTTCCCTTCTCTGACACTCACCGATAGGAAGCATTGGCTGGTTCTCACAGTACACCCGGGGACAGTAGCCAAAGTCTCCCTGCTGGTACTTTTCCAACTGAGGTGAATAAAAAGGAAGGGGCTGGTGGGTGGACGTGCAGAGAAGAGGCAATAATCCCCTCTTCAGTCCAACCCACATCACTGTCCCCTCCTCCTCCTGCCTCTGTCCAGATGGGCTCTTAAGATTACTCCACTTAGGCAGGCTGCAGATGACCAGAACCATTCACTGCTTGTTCCCTGAGGAAGAGGCAGTCTATAGCAACTTCCTGTCCCTGGTCACATTTCCCTCCCTGAACACATCCCATTCCGCGCGATCTCCAATCAAGATTTCATTCCCAGACCTAGATTCTGGTGTTCTTTCCCTCACAGATTACTCGATAGTTAAACACATGACTTCTTATTGAAGGAACCTTTGTTTCCCTCACTGCCTCAGAAGGAATCAAGTGGGAGCAGAGGCGCCTCACCATCTGGGCGATGCCACGGTTGGTGAGGATATAGCGGGCGTGGATCAATCCATAAAGCATCTCAGCCGCCTGCTCGATCAGGTCGCTCTGGTTGGGGTTGTCCTCCAGCTCTTCATCTGAAACACGGCCCCGGCGGAACGCAACACTTGTCTTACAGCTTTCTTGGGTGCCCAGCCTACCCCCAGGGCTGTTGCTTACTGAGTTTTTCCCAACATCTTTGAACCCCACCACACCCAGCACTTGCATATCTGACCCAGAAATTTGGGTCTCTGAGCCTCCCACCAGCCCCGTCGTTCTCCTATCTTGTCAGAACTCTTCAGCCTCTGTTTCCTTCTTTCCCTCCCAACTCCCTCCATAATACATAAGTGCAAAGATGGTGGAACTTTAAACCTCAAGGTGCAAGTCAGGAGAGGGGCAAAAAAACGAAACCCACCGGGAAACTGACATTACGGAATAAGACTAAATTATACATTAATAATGAAAGAAGAAGCCCACATTAATAACTAGGCAAGGGTCAGATAGAGAATCAAAACAAAGTTGGGAAGTTTGGAAATAAACCAAAGAGAAAAGAAGAAAACTTAGAAAGAAGCAGGTGAACATGGATTTGGAAAACATAAACAAAAAGCATAAACACATAAAATGACCCTTGGATGCCTTACCAGGTTCTAAGTCCAAGATCATGTCTAACGCTTGTCGATAGTGAGGCACCTGCTCATTGAGTCCAGTGAGGTTGAATTTGTCCTGAATGTAGTCTTCATCCACCTGCAAGGATGTGGACGTCAAGAGGGAAGTCAGAGCAGAAGCTACGGCTCTTACCTACCTAAGATGCTCTGACACATGCCTTATCCTTAACACAATTTCTTCCATTCCCGTTCCCCACTCCCAACTCCGTAAGAAGTATTTGAGTTCATCTCCCCAATTCACAGACACTTTCTTCCTCCAAAATTTTGGCTCTGGTGGAATCCTAGCACTGAAACACAGAGCCAGGTGACGTTCCTGAGCACTGTCGGGTATGGATTCCTCCCCACTTAAAAAAAAAAAAATCACCAAGAGAATTTTGGTAGGAAAAAACAGTACAGAGGTTAAAGTGCTTGCCTTGTATGTGGCTAACCCCAGTTCGATCCTCAGCACATCATTACATATGGTCCCCAGGGCACTGCCAAGAGTAATCACTGAGCACAGAGCCTGGAGTAAGCCTGGCATACTACCAGGTGTGGCTCCAAAATAAAAACCAACCAACCAAACAAATCATTCTGGTTTGGGGTTAGAAAGATGGATCAAGAGGCTGAAGCACGTGCTTTGCATGCAGGATGCTTGGTGTAATCCCCAGAATTGCATGTCCTCTTGAGAACCACTGGAACGAGCCCTGAGCATTGCTAAATATGCTCACTCCCCAAAACAAACTGGCTTTCCTTTTCTATGGACAAGCAAGGAATCTTAGTCAATCATTCCAAGAGCCGCATCCTGACCCCTGGACACCATATCAATGAACCAGTTGTTAGGAGCCTGCAGGAAGGTGGAGGCCAAGCAGCTTGTGTTCTCAAAGCAAAGACAATCCTTTCAGTTACCACACACCCTGGCATATTACAGAACTTTTTGGTGTTTGGGCCACACCCGGCAGTGCTCTCGGGCTACTCTTCTACTAGAGAGGTGCTGATGGTCCTACCGGTAGTGCTGAGGAATGATGCTGTGCTGCGAATTGAACCTAGGCCTTCTAAGTTCAATTAAAGCATGCACTTAAGCCCCTTTGAGCTTTCTCCCCAGATTCCACAAAATATTCTATTTTTAATTAATTTTTGCTTTTTGGGTCACACCCAGCGATGCACAGAGGTTACCCCTGGCTCATGCACTGAGGAATCACTCCTAGCAGTGCATGGGGGACCATACGGGATGCTGGGAATCGAACCCAGGTTGTCGGTGTGCAAGGCAAATGCCCTACCCGCTGTGTTATCGCTCCAGTCCCCCACAAAATATTCCAACAAGCAGTACTTTGAGTCTTCCGTTACTGGAAATAGTTACTTCCGGTACCTCTCTTAATTGGTAAAAAAAAAATAAACACACACAGAGTGACCTGTCCAAGATTACACCGCGGCAAGGTGGTAGGGTTGGGACATGGGCCTCAGTCTGATCAACTCACCACAGGTTAAGTGGGAGGTTACGTTACTGAGGGGCCTCTTCCTTGGCGGGAAAGCTTCTACACAAGCCTGTGAAGGATGCTGGCTATGTGGGAGAAGAGCAGGCCAGAGGACATGTGAGAGGAGGCTTTGAGGGAGAGAACTCACTTCACAGAAGAATTCATTGCCACGGAGCCCACAGAACCAGGAAATCCAGGACACCTCCTCGGAGCTGCTCATCTTCACGTCAGCTGGAGAAACAGGCGGGTGAGCAAAGCCCAAGCCCTCCCTCCCTCGGGCATCCCCCCGCCCGCACCCCCACAGCGGCCACCCGTCCTCAAGGGTCCCTGCGCGTCCGCCCCGCTCCTTCCGACCGCCACCCCTGCTTTCTGCGAGGCCTTTGGCGAAACCGACGGGGGTCTGCACCTCGGCAGCTCTGAGCCAACCCTGGCACCCCCTCAACGCTCGCTCATCTGCAAGTCAGCTCGGGCAGGGCCCTCGCTCGGATCAGGCTCCCGACCCCCGCCGGGTCCTGAAGGTGCCCGCGCCTTCCCCGAGGGGCCCGAAGTTCGTCCTTCGGGAGCAAGAGCGGAGCCCCCTCTTCTCGCGGCCTGGGGGCTGCCGTCAGGTCTCTTTCAGGGAGTCCCCCCACATCCCGCCTCCTCCCTCTCGGTGCCAGACCCGGTCACTTCCTTCCCCGCCCCCACATCGGGGAGAGCCGAACCCCCCATGTGCCGCACCCAGGGAGAGGACTCGCGACGGCGGCGACCTCACACTCACCGACGGAGGGCCGGGTCTAGGGCGGGGGAGGGGAACTGCTACTTCCCGGGAACGGCGGCGACGCTTCAGCGCAGGCCGCGGACCGAACCGCGGCAGGCGAGGTGGGATGGGGGGGAGTGGAGATTGGGGAGGGTGAAAAAAAGGGCAACGCGCAGGCGCCAAGGGCCGGGAGCCCCACGGCACGCCGGGAGGTGGAGTCTCCAGTCGGGGGAAACTGGCCGAGCGAGGGAAAGGCGAACTACGAATCCCAGAATGACTCGCGCACGACCCTGGTGTCGCGAGGCCCCTGAGGCAGCTGCTTGGGGGCGGGACCTTCGAGGAGCCACCGGAAGCGGAAACGCGATACGGCTTTTGGGGCCCCGGGAGCTTGGGAAATCAAGTCGTGTGATTCCAAGACGCTGGGAGCGAGAGCGGGGCGGGGAGTGGAGCCTGGAGCGAGCCTAGCTTGTTTCTCGTTGCTCAACACAAAAAGTTCAGCTCGGATGTACCCCTGTTTCCCAGGGGTTGACCACATCCCCGGCCAACCCATTGGGACTTTACAAGTGCTGAACCCCTCGCCCCCGTCGGGGCCCCCACTGGAGGTCCCTGGGGGAGCCCCTCGTTTCATCCCGGCTCCGGCCTTTTGAGAAGGGAGGTGAGAGGCCTGGGTGGTGCTGCGGGAGCTGGGTGGGGGTGTGCTGAACAGAGCAACGTTGAGAACCGAAACCGGCCCAACTCGCTAACCTGAAGTGGCGCCAGCTATTCGGCTGCTACTCGTCCCCTTGCACTTCTCCATTTCCTGAGAGCTTGAATTGGACCTTCTGCTGCAGGCACGAAGTATGAGCTTCGAGCCCTAATCAGAGTAATGGTGAAGGGCAGCGTGATGTTATTTCATTTCACAGCACTTGGGCATTCCACAGGTTTCTCTTATCCTCAGGGGATTTCCTAATGTAGAGAATGGTTTTCCAACTCCCAAAAAAATGAGCTCGGAGCGGGGGCCACGTTGAGGGAGGCGAAAGGCATTATGGGGGCGTTATGTAAAAGCAGAACCCCAACCGACCGGTCCTCCTCGATCCTCGCGCTATCTAGGCACGAGGCGCTTTGCGCTTATGCTATTGGAAAACTTCCAGGGCGGGAAACTGACCCGTCGCTCTGCGCACGCCTGCGCCTTTCGGTAACTTTTTCAAGTCACGCATGCGTGTTGAGATTGTGTACCTAATGTATCGATTCTCCTGCTTAGAGTAGCGCCATCTTGTTGTACGGAAGCTGCTGAACCCAGCTGAACGGAGTCGCGCACCGAAATCAAAATCCACTTCCTGCTTCCGGAGAAGTGTCAAGTCTGCTTTTGTGGGGAAAGGGCACTGCGAAAGAGCTGGGACCCGGACGATTTAAAGAGCCTGGCCGGTTGTTTTTCTTATTGGTATGTCTTGCGGGATGGGCTTGGTAAAGAGTTTCAGAGAAACTTCTTTGTTATTGAAAACGGGTAGGGGGTGGGGCGTAGGTCCTTTGTCTCTTGGAGTCTCTTGTTAATCTCTGCTAAGATAAGTCTCCTTGCAGGAGTCTGTTTCTCCACGTGCCTAATGGTCCATAGGTCCTGCAGAGTTCTAGGCTGTGGGATCACTTTGGGGGCAGAGGGGGTTATTCACTCCAGTCACTGCATGGCCACTAGGGGTTGGCGTTTCTTGTGTGATATTTCCCTTGTCTGGTCTCATTTCTTGGTTCTTACAATAAGCCATGTCCAAGCCCTCCCTCATCACCTTCACCCCGGCCTCTGATACCAGCGACCTCTGGAAAGATGGAAAACAGCAGCCACAGCCTAAAAAGCTGGAGCCGACTCTGGATGGCTCTGCAATCCGCGCTTTCTATGAAGCCTTGATAGCGGGTGAAAGCAACTCCTCTGAGTCCCAGACATCTCAACGTGAGCCTGCCAGGGAGAGAAAGAGGAAGAAAAGAAGAACGAGGGAGGCTACAACAGAAACAGCAGCAGTGGCAGCATCAGGAGGACATGAACAATGGAGGTCCCTTGAGGCTGAAGAAAAAATGACCCAATGCATACTGAGGGCAGCCCAGGAGGGAAACTTGGCAGAACTTAAAAGGCTGTTGGAGCCCCGCGAAGCCGGGGGAGCTGGGGGGAATATCAACACTCGGGATGCCTTCTGGTGGACCCCTCTGATGTGTGCTGCCCGAGCAGGCCAAGGGGCAGCCGTGCGCTATCTCCTGGGCCGTGGGGCTGCCTGGGTGGGGGTCTGTGAACTGGGAGGCAGAGATGCTGCTCAGCTAGCTGAAGAAGCAGGCTTCCCGGAGGTGGCCCGCATGGTCAGAGAGAGCCAAGGAGAGACGAGGAGCCCAGAGAACCGGTGAGAGAAAACCTTAGCCTATGGTCATCTTTCCTTGTGTTCCATTCTTCTTGGTCATTCCATACCAAAATAGAAGGGTTCTTTCCTCATTCCCTAAAGTCAACAAGGACAGTATTAAAAAAATAGAGGGATAGAGGAAACCAGCTAGGGTATTGCCTTGCATGCAACTAACCTGGGTTCAATTCCTAGCACCACGAGGAGTGATCTCTGAGAACCTTTAGGTGTTAACCCCTCTCCACCCCAACACCCCCCAAAAAATATAATAGTTTGAACACAAGCTCCCTGGATGTAAAATTCTGATTCTATCTGGGCAAGTAATTTAATGTCTGTGTGCCTCAGTTTCCTCATTTATGAATGGGGTTAATAAGAGCATCTTTTCTGTAGGATTGTTCTTAAGATTAAAAGGCTTGATATGGGGCTTAGGATATACTAGATGGTAGAGTATTTTCATTACATGTGTGAGAACTTCAATCCTTGGCACCATGCACACCAAAAAAAAAAAAAAAAGAAAAAGGGCTATATAGATATTATAACAGGTAGGGTGCTTGCCTAGGTTTGAAACCCAGCACCCCATATGGAGCCCTGAGCCACACCAGGAGTGAACCCTGAGCACTGCCAGATACAGCCCCAAAACAAAACAGTGGCAAAGAATAATACTAATAAATGCATAATGTGTGCAGATTGTTATGATAGTAATTGCCACATACTAAGTATAATTACTATATAAATAATAGTTGTAATCATTGTATTTCTGAGAGAATTACAAGGACTGTTTATCATTTCTTATCCCAATTTTTTCTCCTTGCTAAGGAGGGAGGGAGAAAGAAAGTTGTCTTTAGTATAAAGATTAGAAGGACAGGGACCAGGGCAATAGTATAGTGGGTAGGGCCCCTGCCTTGCATGCCAGTGACCTAGGTTCAATCCCTGGCCTCCTTATGTTCCTCCTAGCACTGCCAGAAGTGATACCTGAGCCCAGAGCCAGGAGTAAGCCCTGAGTTCTGCCGGGTGGTGGGCCCCCCCCAAAAAAAAATAACCTCCCTCAAAGACTTCACTCTTTCCACTATCCTCACCCCTTCCTCTTCTTTGCAGGTTGCCCACCCCCGCCGCCCAGTACTGTGAGACCTGTGATGCCCACTTCCAAGACTCCAACCATCGTACATCCACCGCTCACCTGCTGTCGCTATCCCGGGGTTTCCAGCCTCCAAATCTGCCCTTGGGAGTGCCCACGTCCAGCCCGGGCTTCAGGCTGCTACTGCAGGGGGGGTGGGAGCCTGGAATGGGGCTGGGACCCCGGGGTGATGGCCGTGCCAACCCCATCCCCACTGTCCTCAAGAGGGACCAGGAAGGATTAGGCTACAGATCAGCTCTCCAACCTAGAGTCACACACTTCCCAGCTTGGGATACCCGTGCCGTGGCTGGGAGGGAGAGAGCCCCTCGGGTGGCCACACTGAGTCGCAGGGAGGAGAGGAGGAAGGAGGAGAAGGGTAGAGCCTGGGAGCGGAATTTAAGGACATACATGAACCTCGAGTTTTGACTTCAGCAGTATCTGATACTGATCTGCTGAAATCTGAACTTGGACCTCTGACATTGGCACTTTGATTTCTGCTTCCTGAAGTCGTCCTAGTTCCCAAACCCTCAGGTTTTGGTGAGTGGACTCAAGGAAGAGGAGCTGAGAGTTGAGAAATAAAATCAACTTTTTCTCATGTTTTATTCACTGTGATGGAAGCTATTTCAGAGAAGCCAGACAAGTCTGGGGGTAAATCCCACCTGAGTCAGAAAGGGTAGCCCCTCTCAGAGGTAAGACAGCGTCCCCAGGGCTGGGGCAATAGCACAGCAGGTAGGGTGTTTGCCTTGCATGTGGCCAACCCGGGTTCGATAAATCCTGAGTGCAGAACCAGGGGTAAACCCTGTGAATCGCCAGTTGTGACCCCCCCTCCCCCCAAAAAAAGACAGCAGCCCTGCCCTGCCAGTTTGGGTCACTTCTGGGTCCTAGTTCATCTCTAGGGTATTTTGCCTGTTCTTGCAATTTTTTAAAAAATTTTGGGTTTTGGGCTACACTCTGTGATGCTTAGAGTTAATTCTGACTGGGGAATCACACCTGGCAGTGCTTGGGTGACAATATGGGATGCTGGGGATCGAACTGGGGTATGCAGCATGCAAGGCAACCACTTTACCCACTGTACTATCTCTCTGGCCCCAATTCTCTCAGACTTGAATCAGATCAGAGAGATAGATAGTATAGCAGGTAGAGTGCTTGCCTTGTGCGCAATTAATTGCATTCAATTCCTGGTGACCCATATGGTCCCTGGAACATCACTGGATGTAGTCCAAAAAACAAAACACTTGTTTTGAGTGATGCTCAAGGGTTACTCCTGGTTCCGTATTCAGGAGTTACTTCTGGCAGTGCTCAGGGAACCATATGGGATGCCAAGGATCGAACCCAAGTTGACTGCATGCAAGGCAAACAACCTACCTGCTCTACTGCTACTCCAGCCCTCAAAGACAAATTTTATTTTTGTTTTTTGGGACCAAACGTAGCAGTGCTCAGGGTAATGGTAATTCCTGGCAGGCTTGGGGGATCATATAGGAGTGGGGATTGAACCTGGGTGATCTGTGTGCAAGGCATCGCCCTACCTGCCCTACCACCCTATTGTTCTGACCCCTGAAGACAAAACTTCTGAACTAAGAATTCCCCAGCTTTCCACAGGCCTCACAATCCAGGAAGTGTCCCTTGCCATACTTCCAAACCATATTTTATGTGTTAAGAGTAGAAATAAGGCATCTTCAACCTTCATGTTCACATAGCTGGAGGAGGAAAAATTCATGTAACCAAATCAGTACATGATGCTAGGGGAAGGGATGGGAGGCTCCCATTGCTGAGGACAGTAGCTAGAATCTTGCAGGAAGAAACCAGCATGGTAGGACGGCCTAAAAATCATCCAGCATGCAGTCAGCTGAACTGCCAACAATGGCCTCCCATGTCAAAACTATTTTCCTTTTGTTGCTGTGTGCTGAAGATCACCCACTTGGTTGCTCCACATGTGTGCCTGTATGACACGATACAAGTATCACACCAGTAAAACTTATCCTTATTAAGGATCACACCAGCAAAACGAAATTGTGTTCTACAGTTACATGGGGTGGTGCCTAGGATCAAATTCATATTCTTGAGCCTGCAAGGCAGGGGCCCTACCACTGGTCAATTCCCCAATCCTCCAAATCTAAACTTTAAACCGGTGTTTCTCAATGAGGGTCATTTGGACTTTATCCCTGTGGGCTTCCAGAATATTCCAAGAGGGCCACAGATGAAAGTCATATGGGATGCTATGGCACTAAATTAAGGGGACAACCAGTAGGACAAGGAAAAACACGGTCAGAAAAAGATTTAGAAACACTGCTTTAGGGGTTGGAGCAATAGCACAGGGGCTAGGGCATTTGTCTTGCACGCAGCCAACCTGGGTTCGATCCCCAGCATCTCATCACGCGGCCAACCTGGGTTCGATCCCCAGCTCATCCCCGAGCACCGCCAGGAGTAATTCCTGAGTGAAGAGCCAGGAGTAACCCCTGTGCATTGCCGGGTGTGACCCAAAAAGCAAAAAGCAAAAAAAAAATGCTTTAAACCAATGTTCTTCACTCCCTAGTGAGTTCTGAGATCAGGAAGCATGACCTGCCCTGACTTCCACATGCCCCCGCTGCTTAGTTTTAAACTAAACTAAGCAGGGGAGAAAACTATTACTAGGCCAGAGGGATGGTACAGAGGGTAGGGTGCTAGCCTTGCACGCAGCTGACTGGGGTTTGATCTCCGGCACTCCATAAGGCCCGTCCACCCCCACCCCCTACCCAGCAATGCCAAGAATGATTCCTGAGTACCGTCCCCCAGTCGGGTGTGGCCCCCAAACAAGTTTACCATGGCCAAGCCCAGACATAAAATGTGGGGAGGACCTGGGGTTACCCTTTCTGAGGGAGGGGGGAAGGGAGGTTGTGGGGAGCGATTCTCGCCACCACTCATGGGAGGAAGTTGGTGTCAGCTCCTTGCTGGGGCTGGCTCGGTGGACAACCAGAGGCTGTACCGGACGGACGCGGCAGGAAGAAGTGGTCAAGATTCCTCGCATAGCTTTGTTTTCCGCAAAAGCGTGCCAAGTTCTGGACGGAAGCGAAGGAATCCAAGGGCGGCGGGCGAAAGAGGGCAACCAAGTTCGGGAGAGCGCTGCAGACCAGGGTCTCCAGGCGGCTGGATGTGTCGGCGCCGGTTCCGGCGGTGCGCGGGGGCGCGGGAGGCGGCCGATCGGAGGGTCCGCCCCGGGTCCGCCCCGCGAGGTGCGGGCTCCGCCTCCACGGCCTGCCGGTCGGGGAGTCCCGGAGCAGCTGCTTCCGGGCTCGGCGGCTGCCGGCGGCTCTAAGAGGCCGCGGGCCCGACGCGGGGCCCGGGAGGGGTCGCGGCGCAGACTGCCCCGACCCCGGCCCCCCCCACGCAGGCCTGCGCCTTGCTTCGACCCCCGGAATCTCCGCGGACATCTACGGCCTGACCTTGTGGGGTCCGCGTCTCCGCTGCGTTTTGAGGGCCGGTCGGGACGTTTTGTAGAATCGGTGGCCCCCTAAATCAGGGGACAGCGCTGCCGACCGGGCCTCACAAGACACCCAAACGAAGAATTCTTATTCCAGACCTCCCCCGGGACAGCGGATCTGCACCCCGCCTGTTCTGGAGTGCCCGGCCCCGGGGCCACCCTCCTGCCTGCCTGCCTTCTTGAATGGAGCACCGCCTCCTGAGTGTCTGGGGCACCTTGGGAAGTGGCCTTGGTGAGTGAGACTTGGGGTGCTGCCTGCTGGGACGAAACCTGGAAGGACACTGTGGGGTGACCCAGGCCTTGTCAGATCCCCAGACACTTGGAATCTTATGTGTGGGAGAGCTGGGGGGTGAATAAATCTGGCAGGGGATCCCCGTCTTACCCTGGGAACTGAAAAGGAAACGGCTGCCGGCCACTGTAGAACCATCACTGTGGGAAGACACTTCGGAACCCAGGCGTCACCAAGTAGGCACCTGTTCAGTGCTGAACAGACTCTAGCTTTGCTGGAGACTCCTTCAGGATCCCGGAGTCTAAGCTGTACCAGGAAGGGTCCCAGAGTCTGGGGGCTCTTAACACCCCAAATATGTTCCTGCGCCGGCTTGGTGGCTGGATTCCTCGGCCCTGGGGTCGCCGGAAGCCAGCAAGACCTGAGCTGCTGACCCCCGATCCCAGCCGGGTGGACAGCTCTCCTGAGAATTCCGGGAGTGAGTGGGACAGTGCCCCAGAAAGCCTGGGAGATGTGGGGCTTCCCAAGCCCAAGGACTCCGGGGCACGGAGGCGCCCAGGGGTGGCTTCAGAGCCAAGGAGGGAATCCCAAGTTGAGCAGCTGGGGAGCAGAAGAATGGATTCCCGTCAGCGGGACAAGACTGTCTCTGGCACTCAAGAGCTTGGGAGACTAGAAGAGAAAGGAACCTCCAAACTCGGATGGGATCCTGTGGATGCTGGTGACATCAGGAGGCCTGGAGAGTCCCCTGAAGGAGGACTGAGCGGCCCTGAGCCTGAACCCCTTGTGGAGAAGCCTGGCCGGCGTCAGAAGCTGCTGGGCTGGCTGCGGGCGGGAGCTGGTGGCGGAGCCACTGCGGCCTCGCAGTACCTAGGGAGCCGCGAGGAGAGCTTGCAGATCTCCACCAACCTCACCCTGCACTTGCTGGAACTGCTGGGCGCAGCCCTGCTGGCACTGTGCTCCCGGCCCCTGCGGGTGATCTTGGATGCCCTGGGCCTGCGAGGACCCCTGGGTCTCTGGTTGCACGGGCTGCTCTCCTTCCTGGCCGCCCTGCATGGGCTCCACGCCGTGCTCAGCCTCCTTACTGAGCATCCCCTGCACTTTGCGTGCCTCTTTGGTCTTCTCCAGGCCCTGGTGCTGGCTGTCAGCCTCCGGGAGCCCAGTGTGGATGAAGAAGCCTCTGACTGGGAGGGTGAGAAGCTGGGAAGGGAGGGTGAGGAGCAGCTGGGGGACTCAGGGAAGGAACTGTGACTTGGGTTGGCGGGGGGGTGGGGTGTATCCCATGGTCCCTCCATCATGAAGTAGGGGCAAGGGTGAAGATTGTGGCCTTTAGGACAAGAGTTGGGGGCATGACCCAGACTGTAAGCACAGAGACCTCAGGGATCAGGAAGAAACCCCAGTATGGGGCCACCAGCTCCTGCTCCCCACATAGGAGAGCACTGTTTAAGGTGTTGGTGGGGGTGGGGAATCACTCTTCAGTTCACCAGCTGTTAGTACTTTTTGCTTTTACCTTTCTCCCACCTCTAGTTGTTGTTGTTTTTTTCCATTTTCATTTTTTCGGGGGTGGGGGGTTGGGGGCCACACCCAGCGGTGCTCGGGAGCTACTCCAGCTCTGTGCTCCCAGCACCCAGGAACGATGTCATGCTGGGGATTGAAATGGGGTCGGCTGCATGCAAGGCAAGCACCTTAACCTCTGTATTATTTCTGGCTCTTCAACTTCACTTTTTAAAACCAAAAAAAAAAAAAGTGTGGCGATGGAGGATAAAGACTAAAGCGTCCTCTCTTTCCAAACTCCCTGAGGGTGGGGAGGGGGGGGCCCGGAGGGGAGCAACCTCTGGCTGGGTTACCCCAGGGTTCCTCTGAGCCATCTTGGGTAAGATGGAGCTGTTAGGCTGGTGGATGGGGCCCATAAGTAGAGAGGGTGTTCCTGGGAGCCTGAGGGAGTGGGGATGGCGCAGCAGTGTGGACAGGACTGGCTCAGAGGGGCTGGTTGGCAGCTGAGAATCAGTATGGAGAGATGCTCGGGCTTACAGATCCCACTCCCGGGCTTAGGGGTCTGCTGACTCAACAACAAATCACTGCCACAGCAAATCCTAAATCTACCACTGCAGAGTGAGAGTTCCTGCCACTCAGGGTCTTGTGGCTGGATAGTCCGGGGTGGGGGTACTGAAATGGGGGTCGGGATGAGCGAGGTTGCTGTTTGGAAACAAATCCTGAAATGAAGTCAAGATTGAAAACCCATCTTTATTCCCCTTGAAAGGGCCAGGAGTCTTTAGCATCTCCCCTACCACATTCTCCGCTCTTGCGGTGTCCGTCGAGGCCACAAAGGAAGCCACAGGTCAGTTACTGGTCAGGTTGCAGGTTTCTGTGATGGGAGGAGGGAGACAGAGAGAAAGGGTGGGGGAGTACAGAAAAAAAGAAAATCCAGAAAGAGAAGCAAACTTGTTGGTTATGGGTTGGAAGGAAAATATATTCCCTAGGACAACAAAGGACCTTCCCCTCCATAGCTGTCTCTCTACCCCCTTTCTTCACTGCAAACTTCCAGAACTTCTCTTTCAAGTAGCTCAGAGCCCATCCTGGCTCCATAGGTGACATCGCAACTCTTGGCCACTCCCTCTGGTGCCCTTGCAGCCATAAAAGAGGGATCAACGCTTTGATAATGTCAGCCTTTGGGCTATGCCCTCTAGTGACATCACTTGAGTCCCAGTGAGACAGCAGTCGAGACATGGCGAGTCTTAGTCATCTCCTGTGGGACTTTACCCCCTCACCTTGATTTCTGGGAGTCAGTAAGAAGGCCTTGGCATCCAGGCAGGAGGTCAGGGACTGGAATTCCTCCACGCATTTCTCCGGAGGGTGTGGTGATCGATCTGGAAGGGCAGGGAGAGCCAGATCCATCAAAGGTCTTGCTCCTCAGCACAACCCTTGGTGAAGACCTCACTTGGAACACCTATCCCTTCATGGGATGATGTCACAGGGCCCAGAGTGAAGGGCTCCTTCTTGGGTTCCCTGGCTTTCTGCCAAGCATCCCCAACTCACTGTAGAGGAGGAAGCGCTGGTAGCCCTGACCCGTCTCCTTCAGCATGATTCCATCTGGGCACGAGCTAGAGAAAAGCTTGGTCATCATGTCGGGGCGGCCTGTAAGAGCAAGTGAGGGAGGCATGAGGATAGAGGAAAAATCAAGTGAGTCCAGGGAACATGAGGTGAAGGAGAAAGGACTTGAAAGAACCGACCTTCAGTTCTGAGATCTGTGCTTCCCTCAGTCAGGTGGTAGATCCATTTTCTGGGTACACAGATTCCATTTTTCCTGGCAAGGAGAGGAAGATTGAGACGCTCCCAACCATACAATCCCAGGCTCTATCCCGTCTTCTTCCTTGAAGCCCCAGTCCCACTAGGTTTCAACCCAGTAATGAACCGTTAGCCCTCTCTATCTCCAGAGGGAAAGTAACAGAAACATTGAACTGGACTATTCTGCTGCAAGACGCCAGCCAGGAGCTCAGCTCGGTATCAGGTGAGTGATCACACCGAGGGCTGAGACTTCACTTGCTGGTGCCTCTGCCTGTTGACCACTTACATGCGGATGGTAGCACGAAGCTGGAGCTGCATGGGAACAGAGCCTGCAGCCATGTTGAAGACAATGTTATCCACCGGGTCAAAAGTTGCCAGTTCCTCCTTGGTGGGAGCTGCCCCTGCGATAAAGTACCACTGGCCCAGGTGGGGCTCTGGGAACTGAAGAAACAGGGAAGGGAGCAGAAGAAGATGGGTCCCATTATAAGATCCATCCAACCTCTCCATCAGTCAGGACAGCCGAGTCTAGGAACATTCTCACTCTTTCCAACTAAGGACTGGAAAGGAGGCATTAGACTATTTCCTCTTTGCCAATCCACACGTGTGGCTACCCCACCCATTTCTGCCAGGGTCTCCCCACTGATGGCCTTTTGGCTTATTTTGTCTAGCTTTCCCCATCAAAATACTGTTTCGGGGTTGAAATGCTAGCACAGTGGGTAGGGTGCTTGCCTAGCACGCGGTCGACCCGGGTTCAATTCCCAGCATCCCATATGGTCCCCTGTGCACCATCAGGAGTAATTTCTGAGTGCATGAGCCAGGAGTAACCCCTGTGCATCACCGGTGCGACCCAAAAAGCAAAAAAAAAAAAACCTGTTTCATATCCTATTTCTTCCTTTCCCACCAAATCCCTGAGAGCCCACACCCCCATTCCGCCTCCCCCATGACTCCCAATCCTCCTTTCTCATACCTCTTTCCCATCCACTTCTTGAGTTGTCAGTTGATGGTACTCAGGACATTGGTAGATGGAGTTAAGAAGAATGCCATAAAGGTAGAATAGTGCTGCCCAAATTTGGTGGAACATCTTTAAGGCAGGAAGGAACTGGTGCTTTTCCTGGAGTGGCTGGTGCCTTAACTGCTCTCTCCCCTGCAGGCCGCGTGGTCGGTCCACTCGGCTTCCAGCCCCCTTGCCTTGACCCTTGACCCTTCCCCCTGCTAATGAGTAACTACAAACTTGTTTTCCAGCATCAGCCTGGGTTACTTAGTGTTTGGGCCTTCCTCCCCCTCTTCTGGTTGTGTCCACTCCGCAATACACTGTTACTTCCAGGGGTCTCTCAGGAATTATAAAGTTGAAGCCTGTGCCTTTTGAGTCATAAAGGAGCTGGATGGTGTGAAATGCAGCACTGAAAAACGGTGGGCTAATATCTTGCATTCACTTAGTAAGTTGCTTGGAGTCCCAGTTGTTTGTTAGGAACTGGTTAAGCCTTGAGGATATAAAAATGAATGACACAGTCTCTGGCCTTGAAATAGTCAGTCTAAGGAAGCTTGCTGAGTAAACAAATCTTTCAATACTACCTGATTAAGAGCTTTAGAGCGGGTATAAACCAGGTGGGTGCTAGGATATGGTGGGTGGGAGGCTTCCACTCTGATGCTTACAACTGGGGAAAACACTCAGAAAACTTCACTGACAAATAGGTGAATTCATTTATTCAACATTATTCCAGAATTTAAATGTTTCCTCAAGTAGGCAATAAGGCTTTGGTTAAAGTTGGTGAGCACCTTCTGTTTTAAGAAATTTTTTTGTGTGCCAGAGAAGTAGTATAGCAGGTAGGGCACTTGCCTTGTACCTGGCCAATGGGTTCGATCCCTGGTACCCACATGTTCCTCCGAGTCCTGCCAGGAGTGATCCCTGAGTGCAGAGCCAGCAACAATTCCTGAGCATGGTTGGGTGTGCCCCCAATCCCCTCCAAGTTATTTATCAGGCATAGTAGGTCGAAATTCTATGTCTACTAATTATTACATCTTTGATGTTCTACCCAAGAGCATCCCCACTACAGTGCCTCGAATGCGTCAGATATGTTTTACCACCAAGCCACATCCTAGGCTCTATTCCTGTTTTTTGTTTTGTTTTGTATTCGGGTCACATCTGATGTGCGCAGGAGTTACTCCTAACTGTGTGCTCAGGAATTACTAAGGCTTAGGGAACCATATGAGATGCCAGGGATGGAACCTGGGTTGGCCGTGTGCAAGGGAAGTGCCCTACCCTCTGTACTATTGCTGTGGTCCCTATTCCTACTTTTTCAACTGTAAATGAGCAAATCAGTTTCATAGGATAATAAATAATTGATAAGGCACATAAAACTCTTGGCAAAGGCCTAGCATAAGCTTAAATAGTTAATAGCAATGTTTGTAAAGAACTTATTAGTTTCCGGTGGATAATAAGTTCTCAAATAGTAAAAAGTAAGGATTGTAAAAAGGCTATAATTGAATAGTGCCAAGTAACAGAGCAATTAACGCAAGGAAAATTTGGTCTTCTTTACATTCCATAAGTTTTTTTTAAATTTTTTTTTCAGTTAAGACTTGTAATTTAAAAAAGTAAAATTTGGGGACTCAAGATAGTTCGCAGGGCTGGAGTACGTTTCATATGGAGGAGGCCGGGGTCAGGTACTGCAGGGAATAGTCTGCTATAGCGCCACTGGTAAGGTCCCCCAAAGTAAGAAAAAACATTTTGACCAAGATTGTAGGTTAGTGGTAGAGCAGATAACATGAACTTGATTTTCTAATATAAGAGAAACAGAAGTGTGAGGTGGAAGCTGTAGCTGTAACCAGGGATTCAATCTCAGGAAGTGGGTATGGTCCACCCATTAGCAACCAGAGCCAGATGTGTCCTGAGCACAACTGGGTATGAGGGGCAAAAAAGTCTAATGGTTGTCACTGTATCTCTGTCATCCTGCTGTTTGTTGATTTGCTCAAGTGGGCGCCAGTAACACCCCAGCCCTGAGATTTTAGCAGCTTCTCCTTGTTTTTCCCAATGATTGGAGGCTCTTCCAGGGTCAGGGGAATGAGACTTGTTATAGTTAACTGGTTTTGGCATGTTGAATATGCCACGGGGGAGCTTGGCAGGCTCTGCCCGTGCGGGCGGGACACTCTTCGTAGCTTGCCGGGCTATCTAAGATGCATATATATGTTATACATTTCTATGATTTGTTGCCTTTTAGTTATGTGGTTATAGGAGGGTTTATACTATTTTAGGGCGGTAGGCATTCTTTTTGCTGTAAAAAAAAATGGAAAAATTGGGAGCTGGAGTGATAGTACAAGGGGTAGTGCGTTTGCTCTGCACACAGCAGACCCCAGTTTGATCCAGGCATCCCATATGGTCCCCTAAGCACTGACAGGAGTTAATTCCTGAGTGCAGAGCCATGAGTAACCATTGGGCACCACTGGTTGTGACCCAAAACGAAAGGGAAAAAAAAAAAGGAAAAATTTATTGGGGCAGTAAGATAAAAAGTGCTTGAGGAGTTGGAGCAATAGTACAGTGGGTAGAGAACTTGTCTTACACGCAGTCAACCTAGGTTTGATCCCTGGCATACCATACGGTTCCTCAATCCCCACCAGGAGTAACCCCGGGCATAGAGCCAGTATAATAGTCCTGAGCACCACTGGGTGTGGTACGAAAACCAAAAATAAATAAATACACTTGACCCAGAGTCCTGCAGAACCAGATTTATTAGTTCTACTTATATATGTCCAGGTGTAACTCACCTACAAAATGGATGAAGGAACTATCCATTAAATCTCAACAACTATCAAGAGGCTGAAAGGCATTTAACAGAATAAAAAAGATCTGAGTATCACCGGGAGTGATCTTAAGCACAGAGCCTGGCTAAGCTCTAACCAAAGCTGGGTGTGGACGCCAAGCCAAAAAAAAATAAATCTCAAACGACAAATGTGACAAAAAATGCCTTAGCTGGCACCAATTAAGTGCTCCCTCAAGTTGCTTATTACACTTTTAGCTAAGGCACTACTGGACCTGAGTATTAACTGCGAATCTCAGAAAAGCTGGACACCAGAGGCAGATAGATCAGGCCAGAGTAAGTGGCAGGGCAGGGGCGTCTGGCTGCAGCTGGCCCCCGATTTCCAAACCCCGCGGTACACTTTTATGCACAAGACTTCCTGGCAAGGCAGCGAATCCTTAAGTCTCCCCAAGACCTAGCGTTGTCCCTCGGTCCCGACCACGGACGAGGAATATGGCGCTCGAGCTCCGCCGAACGCCCACCCGAACCGAGGTCAGACCCAACGACGACGCGACTGTACGTAAGCCACCTCCAACTGCCTTTGGAAGGGGTGACTTCCGGAGGCGCAAAGGAATGGGCCTGCGAGGGCGCTGGTGAGAGAGGAAGCTAAAATTGTAGGTGGCATCCCAGAGAAGCCTAAAAAAAAAAAATCTCGGCTGCCAGGACCTTCCTTTAGACGAGCGACTGAAAACTACTCTCTGTTAATCTTTAACAGAGGTCACCCCCGCAGTCCCTGAACTGTACCACTCATACCGCTGTTCGGTATCTCAAAGCGGTTGCAGCCTCCCACTTGACAATTTTTTTTTCAGGCATTCACAGCGGCCACCTCAACCTCCTAGCGCTCAGGCGCGCGCTCGGGCGGAATGGAACGTGCCCGCGGGCGTGGGGCGGTGCTAAAGGGTGTACGCATGCGTAGTGCGACAAACGCAGGCGCAGTACGGTCCCCCGGGCGACGGCGGCGGCGGCGGCGGCGGCGGCTCCTCGGGGTGCTCGGCTCCCTCCCATCTAGGCCGGCCCCGGCCCGTCTTGCCGCCAGGAACTTACTGTTTGGGGCCGCGAACTTTCTCGTCGTGCCCCACGAAAGTAAACCTTGGGGACCTGGGGGAGCCGGAAGTACCGCCTCGGGATCCCCAAATACTATCGGGGAAACGGAAGTGGCCATCGGTAGCAGGTTGGGGGAGACCGGAAGTGACGGTACTTTGGGGGAAGACGGGGGCGGAACCGCGGGTGGTGGTCGAGAGAGAGCGTGTGTGTGCGTGTGTGCCTGTATGTGTGCCACTCTGGTTTTTTGTGTGTTGCCTGGGTTGTGTCGCTTTGCTGGAGACGTAAGGGGCAGCGGAGGATGGGGGCAGTTAGCCAGTCTGGCCCCCAGTGAGTGTCGGGATCTCGGTCAGCCGTGACTTGGGCCGAGTCGATGGGCGTGGCGGGTCGCGCGTGCGGGGAAACCACTTTCTCCGCAGTCGGGCGCGACCCGCGCCGGCCCTCGCGTTGTCCCGGGGCTTGCCGACCTCGGGGGCCCTCGCCCCGGCGCGATCAGTGATGACACTGGTCTCGTGCTTCCTCCTCCTGCTGCTTCCTAGCCGGACTGGCCTTCCCTTCCTGTGATTGGCGCCGTGGGGCCCCTCCCTCCTCCCCGTCCGCCGCTCCTGTGCCGTCGTTCTGCTGCCCTTTGTGTTTCTCTGCCCGTGCCCCGGAATCAGAAGGGGGATGGGGGCGGGCGTGAGAGTGTGTGTTTGTGTGGGAAAAACTCTTTAGGTATTGGGGAGGAGACTCGGGCCGGGAAGGCTTCCGGGTACAGAAAATCTGCGCCGGACGCCAGCGGCCTCCCTCCATTCTTCTTAGAGAGCTCTCGGCCATGGAACCGAGTGATAGTTCCAGCACCGCCATGGAGGAACCTGATAGTCTGGAAGTGCTGGTGAAGACCCTGGACTCGCAGACTCGGACCTTTATCGTGGGGGCTCAGGTGAGACCCCCGTAACTGCTGGAGGCCTTAAACCCAGGCCCTGTTTTCTGATCCTTTTCTGTTTCTAATTTCTTTTTGTGTGGGGGTGGGGGGGAGGCTCATAGAACATTTCTGGGGTTCTTCCAGTTGAGTGAAGCAGATTTTGTTCTCTTGCACCCGCCTCCGAGAAAGCACTCAATCCGAAGCAGATAGGAAGTAGGAATCTGTGTGCCATCATTGCGAGTGAGCCCCAGCCCAAAAGGCTAGACGGGGCTCCAGCCTTTGGAAAGGGAAACAACAGACCCCAATTGCAAGTGCCCTTCAAAGAGTGATCAGGTCTGTCGAGTTGTTTTAAAAGACTATAAATTAGAACCCATAAAGCAAATGGAGAGTCAGTAGACTGAGCCTGCAAGTATGTGTGGCTTAATTTGGTTCTTTTGCACTTCATGGTATCAGCACAACTCTGACATTATTTCTGTTCAGACAGATTTCAAGTAGATCATCCTCAGTCCCAGAGTCGCCTCAAGGGGTTGCCTCCATTAGGGTTTGAATTTCTTTTCTTTCTTTTTTTCTTCTTTTTTTTTTGTTCTCTCTTCCTCTGGAGAAATCGACATTCTCCTTAGACTTCAATATAACTGCTTATTTAGCTATTTTACTTCTCTTCATAACTATTTTACTTAGAACAAAAAAAAGACTATATACTTTGTAATTAGATACATGTTTACAATCTAGTATTTTCTGTAAGTCAGTTGCTAATGAGGACTAACATTTTTTTCTTTTTTTGTTGTCTTGGTTGAATGTGTTTTTCTTAATCTGATTCTCTACTTCATCTTTGTCATTGTTTCAAATTTTGAGTTGTATCATTTTGTTTGGGAAGATGTCTTTGATATCTTTTAAGCTTAGTTCTTTGGGGGGGGGCAGCCACCAAAGAAGGGATTGTTCATTTTCCTATCAGGTGATTTTTTTTTTCCAGTGCTTATAACCCAAATGGTACTTACTTTGTTCTTTAGTTTTTTGCTTTGGTTAGGTTTTTGAACCATTCCTGGCAGTGTTTGAGGGACCATACAGTGCTAGGGCTCAAACCCAGTGCTCCATCATGCATAGCATGTGCCTTAGGCCTTTTAAACTGTCTCCTCAGCTCTCTGTTGTATCTCTTGTCTGTATTTGGGGAGGTATTGTCTTCATTCAGGGCTCTGTATAGTAATTACTTCACACTTACGACAAATGGGTATTTTTTAATTTTTGGATTTTGGACCACACCTGGCGATGCTCAGGGTTTATTCCTGGCTCTGCATTCGGGAATTATCCCTGACGGTGTTTGCAGGGTCCATGTAGGATGCCAGGGATCGACCCAGAGCAAGGCGAGCATCTTTCCCACTGTGCTATCACTCCTCCCCTGGGTGGTGACTTTATGATGGACTGGTTTGTACTCCCTCACCCCATCATCACAGTCCTTTTATCCTTTTCTCCATTTTTTGATTCTTAACCCTTCCTTTTCTTGTAGATGAATGTCAAAGAGTTTAAGGAGCACATTGCTGCCTCAGTCAGCATTCCCTCTGAAAAACAACGGCTCATCTACCAGGGTCGAGTTCTGCAGGATGATAAGAAGCTCCAGGAATACAGTAAGGGTGTGGGGGAGGCATTCAGCAGCGAAACTGCTGTTCAGAGGCATGAGCTGACTGTGGGCTTATCTCATGTACTGTTTTGATATATATCTTTTTTTTTTCTCCTGCAGATGTTGGGGGAAAGGTTATCCACCTGGTGGAACGAGCTCCTCCTCAGACTCAGCTCCCTTCTGGAGCATCTTCTGGGACAGGGCCTGCCTCAGCTACCCATGGTGGGGGACCCCTGCCTGGTACTCGGGGGCCTGGGGCCTCTGTTCATGACCGGAATGCCAACAGCTATGTCATGGTTGGAACCTTCAATCTCCCTGTAAGTTTGTGTTCAGCATGCTTGGGTTTGTGGGGGAATCTTCCTTTGGTTGTGGTAGCTGCTGAGAGCTCCTGAGATAGGGGTGGCAGTCATTAGATGGGATGTGGCGAGCCTTGTGAATTGGTAGAGATTCAGTCTTTATTGGAGGGCTGAGCATGAGTTGGAAGTAGGGGGGCCTTAGTACTTGACTTCTCCCAGAGCAACTTCCCTTACCCTTTCCCCAGAGTGACGGCTCTGCTGTGGATGTTCACATCAACATGGAACAGGCCCCGATTCAGGTATCACGGGGCCTGGGAGGGTCAGGGAAGGGGATCTGGGAGAAGGAGGCCATGAGTGAGCTGGGGGTGGGCCTGACTAAGGAGGCAACTGGTGCAGTAGGTGGGGGAGCTGGCAGTTTCATCTCAGACCCACCCCGACCTTCCCTTTCTTATTGTAGAGTGAGCCCCGTGTACGACTGGTGATGGCTCAGCACATGATCAGAGATATACAGACCTTATTATCCCGAATGGAAGTAAGTGGACAAGGCTAGCTAGGCTGCTTTCTGTCTCTCCCTATTCACCCCATCCTTTTTTTCTCAGCCCGGGCGAGGGCATGGCTGGTGATATCTACTGGATTCTGCCTCTCTAATCTAGAATGTTTCGAAATACTGACTCTTCCCTTTTTGGGAGTCAGGGGCACAGCTGGCGGTGCTCAGGGCTTACTCCTGGCTCTGAGCCCAAGGACCACTCTGGGTGGGCTCGAAGACCATATATGGTGCTGACAATTGAACGCGGGTTAGCTGAGTGCATGGCAAGCACCTTACCAACTGTACTATCACTCTGGCCCCGAAATACTGACTCTTTTGATAGAAAAAGTATCTTTGTGAGAATAATTTATCCCAGTGATGCCTGATATCTGGGGAATTGTTTCAAATGAGTGAGATAATGCTAGTGCTGTGACTGTGTGTGTGTGTGTGTGTGTGTGTGTGTGTGTGTGTGTGTGTGTGATACCAGAGATCAAACCCAGGGCCTCACACATTGTGTCACATATGCTCTACCACTGAACAATATTCTTGGCCCCCATAGCATGCTTTTGTTGTTCTTTTTGTGTCACACCCTGCAGTGTTTAGTGCTTACTCCTGGCTCTGCACTCAGGGATCTCTCCAGATGGGCATTGGGGTACCGCCCAGGTCATAAGCACCTTACGTACTATTTCTTGGACCCTTCCATGGCATACTTTTTTTTTTTTTTGGTCACACCCAGCGATGCTCAGGGGTTGCTCCTGGCTCTGACTGCACTCAGGGATGACTTCTGGCAATGTTTAGGGAACCATGTGGGATGCCGGGCATCGAATCGAGGTTGACTGTGTGCAAGGCAAATGCTCTTTCCACTGTGCTGTTACTCTGGCCTCTCCATGGCATACTTTTTAATTGCTTGATTGGATTTGGTAGTATGCTAACCTAATTTCATTAATTGATGTCGTGGCTATAGTTAAATCCTTTTTCTTCCTTCATGTGGAGATTAGGAAACCACAATCTCTATTTTTGGTTTACTTATTATCACTGTCACTGTACTGTCCTCCCGTTGTTCATCGATTTGCTCGAGCGGGCCCAGTAATGTCTCCATTGGAGACTTTGTTGTTACTGTGTTTGGCATATCGAATACATCACGGGTAGCTTGCCAGGCTCTGCCGTACGGGCGAGATTATCAGTATGACAAATACTTGCTTAGCCGTCTAACGTGTGTTAGCCTTATACTGGTTGCCAGGGAGTCAAGCGTGCAGGTGCAAAGCTCTGTCTTCCAGGATCCTAGTCTGAGCACCTTCTCCACGCAGACTCCTTTGGCTCCATAATCCTCTGCAGCAGCCTCATCCTGCCTTTGGTCTCTCCTCTCCAGTGTCGAGGGGGGACCCAAGCACAGCCCAGTCAGCCGCCCCTGCAGACTCCAACTGTGGCCCCAGAGCCCGTAGCTTCAAGCTCTCAAGCATCGGAACCTGTCGAAAGTGAAGTTCCTCGTCGGGAGCCCATGGAGGCAGACGCCGTGGAGGAGCGCGCCCCAGCCCCGAGCGTGGAGCCCCCGCCTTCTGGCCCGGCCCCCGCAGCGCCCACTTCCGCCCCAGAAACAAATGCACCCAAGTGAGAGACACAATCATGGGGAGGGACTTGGGGACCTGTAGTGAAGAAGGGGGACTAAGAAAGAATTGTGGGGTGAAGGGGAAGGCTTGGAGTAGGGATCTTTTGTGACTAGTGCTGAGGGGCAGGTTGCGGGGTGGCTGAGGACGGCCAGCTGAGCCCCCGTGCTGCTGCTCCGCGGAGGCGCACGGGGCCTCATCAATATTCTCTTCCACGTCCACATGGGCCCCGACTTTTCAGGGTTCTTTCTCATCACTCTAGTGTGGAGGATGGAAAGAGTCTTTTTTCTTTTCCTTGGTTAGGGGTACAGGACCGGGACTCTAAGAGACCAGCGGAAGTAAGGGGTAGGGAAACTGAGGGGAACCACGGCTGACTATCTTTTGGGGTTGCCCACAGCCATCCTTCTCCTGCGGAATATGTGGAAGTGCTCCAGGAGCTCCAGCGGCTTGAGAGCCGCCTTCAGCCGTTTCTGCAGCGCTACTATGAGGTTCTGGGCGCCGCTGCCACTACGGACTACAACAACAATGTGAGCCCCTGCCCCGCCCCACTGGCACTTCTGCATGCGGGTAATCCCTACAGCACAGTTCTCTTTCCTCTCAGGGGTAACTATTGCTGCACCCCTCTGCCCCCTAAGTGAGTTTATTTCAAAACTTATGAAGTAAGGGGAGATAAATTTCACTGATTCGCCATTGGACTGGTCAAAATAGCGAACACTGGGGTTGGAGCTAGGGCGTTAGCCTTGCGCATAGCCAATCCACGTTCGATTCCCAGCATCCCATATGCTTCCCTGAGCACTGCCAGGAGTAATTCCTGAGTGCAAAGCCAGGAGTAACCCCAGTGCAACGCCAGGTGTGACCCAGAAAGCCAAAAGAAAAGAAACAGTAAACACTGTAAAATCGACTGTTTACAAAGATCTGTCCGCAGAAGCCTTCTGGGATGCCCCTACAGGATTAGAGGGAGAGCTGTTCCCAGGAGGCATTGCTTCCTTAGTGGGGGGTGCCAGCCTCCTGATGCCGCTTTCGGGTTTGGTTGGTGGTGCAGCAGGAGAGCCGTGAAGAGGACCAGCGGCTGATGAACCTGGTGGGGGAGAGCCTGCGGCTGCTGGGCAACACCTTCGTGGCGCTGTCTGACCTGCGCTGCAACCTGGCGTGCACGCCACCGCGACACCTGCATGTGGTCCGGCCCATGTCCCACTACACCACCCCCATGGTGCTCCAGCAGGCGGCCATTCCCATCCAGGTAGGCGGGGAGAGCGGGCATCCGCGGGCGCCGTGCAGGGCGGACACTCCGGAAGCAGTCATGAAGGATAGGGGAAGTTTGAGAAGTGTATCATGAGGTGCTCTGGGCTCAGCGCTCATGTTTTTCTCACTTCTACCTCGTCTATCTCCTTCAGATCAATGTGGGGACCACTGTGACCATGACAGGGAATGGGACTCGCCCCCCCCCAACTTCCAATGTTGAGGCACCTCCCCCTGGTTCTGGGCAGGCCTCGTCCCTGACTCCCTCTTCCAACACGGTGGAGTCTTCAAACGAGGGGGCTCCCCCGCCAGGGCCAGCTCCTCCCCCAACCGCCAGCCACCCGAGGGTCATCCGAATTTCCCACCAGAGCGTGGAGCCCGTGGTCATGATGCACATGAACATCCAAGGTGAGTTGGCAGAGAAGAGCCGCGCGTGAGGCGGGCCGGTCCTGAGGTGTGTTGGAGCAGGGGTGGGAAGGAGGTGCGGCCGACGCGGCAGCGGAGTGCGGACTGCAAGCTTGACGGGGCCCAACTGCACAGGGCTGCAGGCGCGGGCCTTGCATGCGGCCAACCCCGCTTCATTCCCTGCACCCTACGGTCCCCGGGCCCTGTCAGGAGTGCCTCCCCGAGCACAGAGCTGGGAGTAGCCCCAAGCACCGCTGTGGCCCAGAAATTAAACACTTGGCACGTGTGGGGATGGGCAGGCGGGACTGCTTTGTCTTTGGAGCTTTGTGTTCGTATCTGTGTGGAGGGAGCGCCTTGTCCCCGTCCACGGAGGGAAAGCCTGCCTGCGGCCGGGGGAGTGGACGCCGAACTCAGAAGGATACAGTTAGGCCTTGCCCTGCCTGTCTCAGGGCCACTCTCTCTGTTTCCCTGCCCAGATTCTGGCACACAGCCTGGTGGAGTTCCGAGTGCTCCCACTGGCCCCCTAGGACCCCCTGGTCATGGCCAGACCCTGGGTAAGAGTGAGGGCATCAGAACAGGCTGAGCTCTGGGTAGCAAACAAGGGGTAGGGCCAAGTGGGTGGGTTGAAGGGGGTCCAGGTTCAAGGTTACATCAGACCCACCCCCCAGGCTCCACCCTCATCCAGCTGCCCTCCCTGCCCCCTGAGTTCATGCACGCCGTCGCCCACCAGATCACTCATCAGGCCATGGTGGCCGCTGTTGCCTCCGCGGCCGCAGGTAATGACCTGGAAGGGGCGGCCTGGGAGGTGGGTCACGCTCCAGGTGGCGGGTGCTGTCTCCTGGCAGCCAGAGGCCCTGCCCTCAGCACTCTTGGGTCTTTCCCTCTGCCATTCACAGGACAGCAGGTGCCAGGCTTCCCAACAGCTCCGACCCGGGTGGTGATTGCCCGGCCCACCCCGCCACAGGCTCGGCCTTCTCATCCTGGGGGCCCCCCAGTCCCTGGAGCTCTGGTAAGTAAAGGTGGAGGCAGACCACAGTGGGGATGTGTTTGGAGAGAGAATTTTTCATTTGGGGGCTTCACCTGGCAGTGCTCAGGCACTGCTCCTGTGTCCTTGATGGTTGCTCTAGCAGAGCTTGGGGACCATTTCAGTGCTGTGGATCAAATCCCGGCCTCCTGCATTCCTGCAAAACACATGCTCCAGGGATCGGAGTAATAATAGCACAGCGGGTAGGTTGCTTGCCTTGCACACGGCCAACCAGGGTTTGATCCGTGGCATCCTCCATGGTCCCCTGCGCATCGCTGGGTGTGATCCAAAAAAGGCAAAGGGGGAAATCCACAAAGAGACATACACTCCACCCCCTCGCGTCCTCTCCCTGGTTCTGGAGAAGGAATTCTCTGGTGGCTTGGAAAGGACAGAGCTGAAACCCTCCTTCTCTCCCCTCAGCAGGGCACTGGGCTGGGTACCAATGCCTCTTTGGCCCAGATGGTGAGCGGCCTTGTGGGGCAGCTTCTTATGCAGCCTGTCCTTGTGGGTGAGTTCTTGTTCCCTGTCTCAAACCTGAAAGAGAATCAGGGCTGGACAGCCTTGTGCTCCCTCTATTTCTCACTGACCCTTCCCACTTCTCCCCGTTTCCTCTATTCTTGGGGCTTCCTGCAGGGAGACCGGAATGAAGATGCTGTGGTATCTTGTTTTGCTTCTCATTTCAGCTTACCTCCTTTTGCTTCCTACAGCTCAGGGGACTCCGGGAATGGCTCCACCTCCAGCTCCCGCCACTGCTTCTGCCAGTGCTGGCACCACCAACACCGCCACCACAGCTGGCCCTGCCCCTGGAGGGCCTGCCCAGCCTCCACCCCCTCAGCCCTCCACCACTGATCTTCAGTTTTCTCAGCTCCTGGGGAACCTGCTGGGGCCTGCAGGGCCAGGGACCGGAGGGCCTGGCATGGTTTCTCCCACCATCACTGTAGCGATGCCTGGTGTCCCTGCCTTCCTCCAGGGTATGACTGACTTCTTACAGGTGAGTCATTGGCTCTCACCCTGCTCTTTCCTCTCTCCTCGGGCCCAGCCAGGCATTGAAGCCTTATTGCCGTTGCATCAGCACTGAGCTAGTACCTGGTGCTGTGTCAGTAAAAGGAACCTGGGAATTCAGTGACCGTGAACCACTCCCACCTCCTCAGTCTTGAGAACAAGGGAGGCTTACAGTGATCCTGTCATTGCCTTTTGACAGAGTAGCTCTGAGTCAGGTTACCCAGGATAGCGGACTTTGCTTTAAGAAGCAAGACCAGACGCTTTCCAGCCCCGTGTAGCTCTGTGTCTTCCTTATCCCAGTTCTCACCTTACTTTCTGTTCTTCCTTTCATTTGCCAGGCCACACAGACGACCCCTCCTCCCCCTCCCCCACCCCCGCCGCCTCCCCCAGGCCCGGAGCAGCAGCAGACCACGCCTGCCCCAGGGTCCCCTCCTGGTGGTGCCGGCAGCCCCGGAGGCCTGGGTCCTGAGAGCCTGCCGCTAGAGTTCTACACCTCTGTGGTGCAGGGGGTGCTGAGCTCCCTACTGGGCTCTCTGGGGGCTCGGGCTGGCAGCAGTGAGAGTATCGCTGCCTTTATCCAGCGCCTCAGCGGATCCAGCAACATCTTTGAACCTGGGGCTGATGGGGCCCTCGGTGAGCCAATTGGGGTAGGGTGGAGGATGGACCTTGACCTTGTTTAAGGGACAGCCAGGGGATAGAGGAACTGTGTTGAATTGTTTACAAGGTAGCTGGTCAGTTAGCGGCCGGGTGGTAATGGACACTGCTAACTTCTCCCCCCTGTCCCTAGGATTTTTTGGAGCCCTGCTCTCCCTTCTGTGCCAGAATTTTTCCATGGTGGATGTGGTGATGCTTCTCCATGGGCATTTCCAGCCACTGCAGCGTCTCCAGCCTCAGCTTCGCTCCTTCTTCCACCAACACTACCTGGGCGGCCAGGAGCCCACACCGGGTAACATCCGGGTAAATGAAGACCCTGGGCCCCAGAGCCTGAGACCCTCATCGTCACTTCCTTTCTTTCTAACGCTAGTTACTCACCACGTAAAGCTGCCGCTGTCTCGGTCTAAGCCCTGGACTTGGTGGGGGTAGAGAGGAAGATGATTTGAGGGCTGGGCAGGGATCTAAATATGTGCTACTTCCCCCCTGTAGACGGCAACCCACACGTTGATCACTGGGCTAGAAGAATACGTGCGAGAGAGCTTTGTGAGTAACCTCGCTCCCTCCTCTCTGGGTCCGGAGAGCTCTTGTTCCGAAGCTTGCCCAAGATGCCTCGGCTTGGGTCTTGATTTTGAGGTCTTTGTCTTGTCGCAGTCTTTGGTGCAGGTGCAGCCAGGTGTGGACATTATTCGGACAAACTTGGACTTTCTTCAGGAGCAGTTTAATAGCATTGCTGCTCATGTGCTTCACTGCACAGGTCAGGGGCCAGTGGGGCTGGAGGAAGTGGGGGGGGGGGGGTGGGCGTGCGAGGCTGCCGGGTTTCTGCATTCTGTTCCTGTGTGCCCACACAGACAGTGGATTTGGGTCCCGTTTGCTGGAGTTGTGTAACCAGGGCCTATTTGAATGCTTGGCACTGAACCTTCACTGCCTGGGGGGACAGCAGATGGAGCTTGCTGCTGTCATCAATGGCCGAATTGTAAGTATCACCCAGCCGTCTTTCTAACCATTTGTCGCCTTTTCCATTCTCAGTGGTAACCTGTAGTTTTCATTTTTCTTCAAACCACCTTCTCTTACCCAAGATTCCTTTTCAAAGCTGCCTTAAGGTTTTGTTTCCCAAGTCTGCTTTCTGTCTCTCAGCGTCGCATGTCTCGTGGGGTAAACCCATCCTTGGTGAGCTGGCTGACCACTATGATGGGACTGAGGCTGCAGGTGGTCCTGGAGCACATGCCTGTAGGCCCTGATGCCATCCTTAGATACGTCCGCAGAGTTGGTGATCCCCCCCAGGTAAGGAGTCTTGATGAGCTCTGGCATCAGGTATTTGGGGGAACTGGACAGATCTGACAGAGCTTTATGTGTTCTCCTTCTCTTTCCCCCTCTCTTAGCCACTTTCTGAGGAGCCGATGGAAGTTCAGGGATCAGAGAGAACTTCCCCTGAGCCTCAGGTACCGGTAAGAGCTTGAGGGACCAGAGGATGTATAGAGAGTTGGGGACCATTTGACGTGTTAAGGGTTGGAGGCTGAGAAATCTGAAACCCAGATCTCCTTCCTCTGAATCCCAGCGAGAGAACGCTTCCCCCGCCCCTGGAACAACAGCAGAGGAGGCCATGTCCCGAGGTCCACCTCCTGCTCCCGAAGGGGGCTCCCGAGAGGAACAGGACGGAGCGTCAGCTGAGACAGAGCCTTGGGCAGCTGCGGTCCCCCCAGTAAGTGTCAGGAGGTGACCCAGTAGGCCAAAGCAGCTAAAGTTGGTGGGGATTACTACTTTCTGATCTTTCCTTTCCCAGGAATGGGTCCCTATTATCCAGCAGGACATTCAGAGCCAGCGAAAGGTGAAACCACAGCCTCCCCTGAGTGATGCCTACCTCAGTGGTATGCCCGCCAAGAGACGCAAGGTTGGTGTGCCTCTTCCCTGAGGATCTGTCCCTCTCTCCAGATTCCCCTGTAGTGCTTAGGGGAATTAAGTAGAGCTGGAAGTTCTTAACCTTAGTTCCTCCATTTAATTGATGAGGGAATCTGGCACTCAGAGGGGCTCAGGGTTGTCACCACCACACCTTCACATTGGTCTGATTGCCTGCAGTCTCTCGACCCTCAGTTTAGGATTCCTCATGTGGTAAAGCCCATTCTCCTCAGGGCGGGTTTCCTCTTGCGGACTAGTTAGCTCTGAATCCCAGATGGCTTGAGCCACACTGCCCCTCTTACACTGAAGACCAAGCTCTGTGTGTTCTTTTGCCAGAGCCAGAGACTTAGGGAGGTGTTTCTGCTGTCAAAACCACATGTGGACTATTTCCCTTCTCTCCGTTAGCATGGAGACTCAGTGGTTGACTCATGGAAAGGGTGAGCTGGGTGGTGGCATGGATCTGACGTCGATCCTCTTTTCCCTCCCAACCCCCTGTCCCCCAGACGATGCAGGGTGAGGGCCCCCAGCTGCTTCTCTCAGAGGCCGTGAGCCGGGCAGCTAAGGCAGCCGGAGCTCGGCCCCTGACGAGCCCCGAGAGCCTGAGCCGGGACCTGGAGGCACCAGAGGTTCAGGAGAGCTACAGGCAGCAGGTGCCCCGACCTTGAAGCAGAATAGGGATGGTTTAGTGGGAGGGGTTGGGCTAGGGCCCCTCTTCCTCGGATCTCTTCAAAGACAAAACGGTCAGTCTTGGCCTACCACTTGATGGTTTTAAGTTTTTCTTTAGTGGCATTGGCATCTGGGAAGGCCCATAATGCCACCTTAATGGGCTTTTGGCAGTTCGTGGCTGGTGGGGAAAGTTAGCTCCTGAGGGATGGTCTTGTTGCTGGGACCCTAGGAAGTTGACCAGTGCTTCTCCAACCAGCTTGCTCTCTCTCTAGCTCCGGGCTGATATTCAAAAGCGACTGCAGGAAGATCCTAACTACAGCCCCCAGCGCTTCCCTAATGCCCACCGGGCCTTTGCTGATGACCCCTAGCTCTATGACCCTTCCATGTCGGGGGACCATTTCCCCTTCTCTTCCTTCACAGTATTTAAGAAATAAAAAGTCAGATTTTCCTGGCTCTTTCGTCTCTGAAATTGTCTTCATTGAGTCCCTTGCCCTTTGTGGGTTGGGGCCTTTGGGGCCACACCTGACTGTGCTCAGGACTTACTCCAGGGATTTGACAGAAGTTCTGCTATAGGAGGGGCAAGTGGCTTACTGCCTGTGCTCTCCATACTTGATTGTGCTATGGATGCAATACAGGACAGAGCATCACCTTTGCTGTTGTCATTCTATTCCCAGTCCTTTGGTACATTTTCTATGGACTAGACCCATATGAATCCAGGTACACGGTACACCAGAGAGCTTCTAACATTTTCCAGCAAGCAGACAAACACTTTCTTTCAGCAATGCTGTGTACGGAAACATTTGGATGGTTGATTCTTTATTCAGAGAGATGGGGCAAGGGACTGTTTGGGACACACCTGGAGGTACCAGGGTGAAACCCTGGTCTTCCTACCTGCAGAGCATGTACTCAACCCTTCCAGTTTCCGCTGGCCCCTGTATTTTTTTTTTCTTTTTGGGTCACACCCAGCGATGCACAGGGGTTACTCCTGGCTCTGCACTCAGTAGTTACTCCTGGTGGTGCTCAGGGGACCATGTAGGATGCTGGGAATCAAACCCGGGTTGGCCGCATGCAAGGCAAATGCTCTACCCACTGTGCTATCGCTCCAGCCCCTGGCCCCTGTATTTTCAAGGAACATTTTCTTGCAAAGGCAACTTGCTTACACATTTAAGAGGCCTGTTTTGGAATGGAAGAAAAATAATCCCAAATATCAGACAGAGCAAGCCCTCAATTTAATAAACATTGAATTTCAAAACAGCAAACCTGTCTCCACTACTTGCGTGGTACCTAGTGTAATTCAACTATAGGACCCACTTTACCTGTACTTTACCTAGTTCAACTTGACTGCCATTCATGTGTTTGACAGAGTGGGGACCTGATAGCTCTGAATCCATTTCCTTTGTCATTGGTTCAAGGTGACACTAATCTCTTAAGAGTAGCACCCGGCAAGACTCAGGTGACATCCCCAGACTCTGCTCACTCCTGGTATTGCTCAGACTATGTGGTGCTAGAGTAGAGCCAGGCTTGGCTTCTCTAAATTTTTTTTTGGCCACACCCAACAATGTTCAGGACTTAACTCTTGGCAATGCATGGGGGACCATATGGCTTATGCCAGATCCATGGCCCCAAATGTTTTAAATCCTGATCATAAAGCTTAAGACCTCTTAGAACCTTGCTCAAGGACCTGAAAGATGATAGATCTTCCTGCATAAGTCATGCAAGTCACTGATAGATAACTGATGGCCTACCTTCCAGGTTCCCAAAGACCCAGGAATGACGGTGCCCCGTGCCATCAGCCCCAGGTTTTGGCTGCATAATGAAAACCCTACTCAAGCACAAGACATTTGGTCAGGGAAGCAGCCCTCTAATTCTAATCCATGATCCCCAAGCCTAACAACATGTTTTAAGAGGGTTTTTTTTGGGGGGGAGGGGTATGTGAATGGAGGCATTTTTTTTTTAAAATTTTTAGTTCTGTTCTTTATTTTGGTTTTTGGACCATATACAGTGGTGGTGAGGGGTTACTCCTGGCTCAACACTCAGGGATTGCTCCCGGCAGGCTTGGGAAACCAAAAAAATGCTGGGGAATGAACATGGGGCATCCACATGCAATCTTTTCTTACAACTTAAAAGATCTGGGACCCAGAGATAGTGCTTTGCAAACTGATGTTATAAATGGATGACCAAGTAACACTAATGGATTAAGAATAAAGGTAACAGATTCATGGGTTAAGAAAGTACTCTATGAAAGAAATAACGTACTACAAGAGACTGCAAACAAACCATCCCCCAAATCATTTTGGAAATATTTTTTTAATCCTTTTATTATTCTTTTTTAACAAACGGCCCCAGGGATAGGGGATCAGGGGAAGGGGGAGGAGGGGAAGCGAGGCCCCAGCCCCACAACCCCTCCCCACCCACCCCTTTTCCCCCTTATATATTTATAATCTATATACAAGCCCCGGGGAGTGGGGGGAGGGGGCGCAAAGGAAACTCCCTTCAGCGAGGTGGGGGCAACCCAGGCTCCTTGTCCCCTCGGGACCCAGGCTCCTCTGCCCGCCGGGAAGGCCCTTCTCGAGGAGGAGGCCCAGTCCGCTCCCAAGGCTTTGGCATCCAGCGCAGGGCATCTGGTGGGGAGGCCTGGGAGACAGGTATTTGGGAGAAGTCAGACTGGGAGGTCAGGAATGGAAGGATGGGAACTGCTGGCTAACTTCCAAAAATCAGATTTAGGGTGGCAGGGGTTTCTCCTTCACCTGCTGGTAGAGGTCAATGCGCTGGGTGCGGAAGACTCCGCTGTAGGTGGAAGGCGGGGCCTTGAGACGCGAACTGAGGCCAGAAAAAGACCTAAAAAACAAAAACAAACTTAAGACTTGCCACCCACACCTTGAAGACCCAGGGGATGGGCAGTCTGCATCCCTGTTCCCTTCTTGCCTTCCAGCTGGGGGAGCACGTGATGACCCAGGTCCCCCAAGGCTGCTGCTCAATTTGCGGTAATCCTGGAACGGCTTTAGTTCCACTGGGTGCAGCTGAAGGGAAAAAAAGTCCGTGAGTCTCTGGCCCCTCAACCCCCTTTGAGATCCCGAATCCCTGGGGTCTAAATCGTGGGAGGTTCTTGGTGCTTCCACTTCTGTACCTTACCTCTGCTCGCCCCAAGCTAGTGGGGAAGGGCCTGGCAGGTGAAGGCAGCACCCGAGTAGCAGGAGCAGGTGGAGGCCGCACAGCCAGATTGGGAGGCTGCAAAGCAGGGCCCACAGGTAACAAAGAGAGGGGGGGTGGGGCAGGAGGTGGCGCTGGTGGCAGGGAGCCAAAGTTCACCACAGGCAGCTGTGAGTCCACCATGGGCAAAAGCATCTGCAATAAGAAACGGGCATGTACAGGTCTGGGGTAGAAGACAGAAACCCGGGGATAGCAAAACGAGTGAGAAAGACGGAAGTACCAAGATATTAGCTACCTGCTGGGCAGGGGCTCCTGAAGGAAGGAAGCCACTTTGGCCACCAGGTTGTAGAGGAGCTGAATAAAAATCTGAGGGGGATGGCAGATCCTGGCGCACCTACAGAGAATAGGGACAGAGTGTGAAACCCCCACCCCCAAAGCGTTCTCCCCCGCACCATCCTTAAGGCCAGCACCTGTCCCTACCTCTTACCTGAAGCAAGGGTGGGTCAGGTAAAGGGCTGGGGCAGAAAGCTGGAGAGTAGACGAAGGAAGGTGGAGGATAGAGAACTCCTCCAGCCGCCAACTTCCCCAGCTCTGTTGCTTGTAGTGCTGAGAAATCCAGAAACTGGCCCTTGACAGCTACCCCAGAGAGCAGTGCTGAGGGGGGTGCAGGGCCGGGGGGAAGGTACAAGGGCTGTGATCTGAAAAGGGGCGGGGGGGTGGTGTCAGAAAGCTACGATCATTTATTCATTTCATATGAGAAGGGCCCTTAAGCCACAAGACTTGGGTGCGCTAGAAATTGCTCTTAGGACTGCAGCAACAGGACAGTCGGTAGGGCATTTGACTTGTACACGAGACCGATCCCTGACACCACACACAGTCCCCCCCCCCACCCCCCCAAGCCCACCAGGAGTGATCCCTGAGCTCAGAGTCAGGAGTAAGCCCTGAGCACCACCAGGTGTGGTCCAAAGACGAAAAAGAAAACTGGTCTTCCCCTTCCTGCTCCCTTGCCAAACAGCTCCATTTCCTTCTGAGGGTCGGAGGCATCTGGGCTTACCTGTAAGGGTGCAGAGAGGGGGTCCCAGGGCGGAAGCCTCCATTGGTGGGATGTAACTGAGAGTCCATGGTTCCCCCAGAGACCTGAACGAGGGCAAGGATGAATCAGTTCCAGATTTTTTGGTTACGAAAATCTTAAGTCCATAATTAAAAGAAAAGCACAATGAAAAATTGTCTGCAAACATTATACAAACAGGAGGTTTGATTTTAAGGCACACAAGCAAAAAAGCCACTCAGGCTAGTAGGGAGAGGGCTCTAAAGGCCAGAGTCAGGTTTTGTATGCCCGAGTCACAGGTTTGGTGGTCGGCATCATTCTGCTTCCCCCAAGCACTGTGCTGAGTGGCCAAAAGGAAAACAAAAAATCACACGCACAAGTGGTCATTAGGTAAGACCTACCTGAGAACTGGGAGGCCCAGGGCTGCCATAGAAGACCTCAGGGTACAAGCGCTGAGCTGAAGAGCTGGGCTCAGAACCACAGTGCCCGGAACCCAGACTCTTGGGCTGTGGCTCAGTGGAGGCAGAAGCACTGGGAAGCAGCTCCCAGTCTCGGGGTGTGGGAATTGCCTGGGAAAGAGAAGCCTTGAAAAGGGGATGTGTCTAGGCATCAGCCACCTTCTCCAGAAAAGAAAGGCCTTTCAGCCACCAACAAAGCCACTGTCCCATTTACCTCGGTGACTGATGCTGGTAACTCCTTCTCAGCTTTCAAACTCTCTTTTACCACTAGGTGCAAATCTGAGTCCTAGAATAAGACAGGGGAGATTGTCCCATGAGCTAGACATATGCATGTCCCACCTGCACTTCTCTCCACCCAAATCTGATAACCCCGAAACGCTTCATGCACACCTTGTCACTGGTGCCAAACTGGACAGGTGGGGGGCCAGGCCGGTGGGAGGGAGCCAGGCTCTGGGCCCGGAGGGAGCCAGGCTCTGGGCCTCGCTCTGTACGCTGTAATCGTTCTGTGCCAATGGGGTCAGGGGGCAGAGGCTGCTCCCGGGGCAGCTCCTGGCGGGTGGGGGGAATGACATCGTAAAGTGTGGCTAGAGAAGGAAAGGGAGCCCCAAATCAGGGGGAACCCGCAGGGGGAACTTCCCAGAACACACAGACAGAAGACAAGTAAGACGAGTAAGACAAAGGTGCAGCCACAAACACATTCTTAACCCTTTCCTGATTTCTTACCTTTCTGTCCCCATCATGGGGGGCAGGTGGCCGTCTCCTAGGAGGTTCAGAGGGTTCAGAGCCAGGTGGACCCT